CATAGATAAAATGTAACAAAAATTTCCTTCTTTGTTCTTCCCCTCCACTAGCAGTCACCTCCATTCTCTTCCCCAGATCCCCTACTATCTTAAAGAAATTTCCTTACAACCCAAAGTATTCATTTCTAGTTTCAGGGTTGCTTACCCTCCACCCTCCACAAAACGAAACCTTTCCCTATATTTAACTGAATCGACTTTTCTCACAAAGAAATCTAGCAACTTATACTCTAATTCATTTGTCCTTTAAGTGACCAATCATCCATACCAATGCACTTCTCATCCAAGTGTCTGCCACACAAAACAGGTCTCTTTAAAAGAGTACGTGTGTATACGTGTGTGTAGGAGAGGAAAAAAGAGAGAGAGGGAGAGAGACAGAGACTGGGTATTGAAGAGGTGACTTTCCAAATCAATACACACTTGTTCTCAAGTCTGAATAAAGACTAAAACGTAGGATAAAAATGTATTATTTTTATTTGGTCATAATTTGCATAAAGAGGAATATAAAATGCCAAGAAAATTTTGATATCTTCACATTTTTATACTCATTTTTATCATTCAATTACTTATTCATGTTAACATAATTATTTTCAAACTCTCTTCCCCTGCCATATAAATCTGCATCATTGGTTAATTGAATGTAATCTATATATATATATATATATATATATATATATATATATGTATATGTATTTTTTAACACTTTTCCATACACCAGTCTTCTCCATTTTCAAGGATGCTGTACTATGCTGTTCAAATCTTCCATTCAGAACTGAGGGTCTCCTTCTCTCAGCTGATGGGAAGAACTTCTCTGGCCATTCTGCATCCAATTGGTTGAACTAAGGATAAAAGTGCTCAGCTGTCTCATCCCAACTCAGGACATCTGGAAGTGCTGTCCCAGTGTCAGAGCTCCCCATGGGGTCAGCTGAGGCCTTGTTGTGACTGCGCCAAAGCTCACCTTCTCTCTCTGCCTCAGTCTTGCTGCCTTTTGCTTTCCCAAGGTACTGCCCCATAGAGCTCTGTTTGATAAGTTTTCTATACACCAACCTCCATCTCAGAGTGCTTTCTTGGGAAGCCAATAGCAGCACACTCTAATTGTCATTTTCTTCTGGAATATTCAAGAACATCTGAGATTGAGAGAGTTTTCTCACATCTGTTTTTGAGCTCTGGGGCCCTCAGCTCTTTTCTCTCTCTTTGCAGCTGGTCATTTCTGGGAACTCTGCAATACTGCCTTTTCCTAGCAGGAGGCTCTCTAGAGCACTCTATGTTGGGCAGGCATCATTCCTTCTCTGTCCTAAGCCTTTATTCCCCTACAATATCACCCACACCAAGCTATAAGGATATATTAACTTACTGAAGCATTACAGGCAACAGAAACTATTACAGCCAAATGTGATTGAACACTTAGCCTAAAGGGCAGAAGCACAAAATGGTAAACCTCTCACTGGGGGACCCTCCTGAACACCTCCTGGGTCTTTATTATTATGTCATTTGTTTGTGTGTGTGTTCTGGTTTTTTCGAGACAGAGTCTTACACTGTAACTTAGGCCAGAGAGTAGTGGCGTGATCTTGGCACACTGCAGTCTTGACTTCCCCTAGCTCAAGCAATCCTCCCACCTCAGACTCCCGAATAGCTGGGACTACAGGCACATGCCACCATGCCTGGCTAATTTTTTCTTTTTTTTTTTTTTTTATATAGATATGGGTTTCACTATGTTGTCCAGGCTGGTCTCAAGCTCCTGGGCAATCAGCCCATCCTAGTCTCCCAAAGTGCTGAGATTATAGGTGTGAGCCACCGTGCCTGGCCTTTATTATGTTCTTTATTTTCAAATTCTGCCCCACCTCATAAGCCCTTCATTTTCAAACATTCAGAGTGTACTTCTTCCTTCTCTTTTAGGAGAATCCTATCCTCAAACTACAATATTTCTAGGATCGTACTTATTCCATGCCAGGGCATATTAATCAAATTCCTAAACTCCAGGCATCAACTGGATAGTGCCAAGTGGGGTGTGACACTTAAGTTAGTTCACCATGTGGTCTGTTTACCAATGTAATGTGCAGATACGTCTCCTCACTTTCCCTAACCATTCAGTAATTCACTATTAGGTCATCTACTAAGGGTGAACGAAAATTCTGAGCCAGTATAGCTAACTCAGCATTGTCTGATACCAGAGCTACTAGCTACATGTGACTACTGGGAACTTGTAATGTGAAAAATTGTCCAGGATTTCCTTCCATTATTTCAACTCTTGCCCCTTCACAATTCCACTTTTACAGGTACCCGTTACTTCTGACTCATGAGTTGTGGGTTGGCTAACTTCTGATTTTAGCATTCTCTTGGCTTCTAAGTCAGTTACGTTCATCCGTTTTGTTTTCCAGCCTCTAAAATTGTGGTGTTCTCATCTTCTTTCTCACTCTTTATGTTTTCATGGTTTTATGCTTTTAAAACCTTCGCTGTTATTTCAATGGAGTTTTGGAGAAGCTAAGATAAATACATGTTCAATCCACCATATTTAACTCAAAGTTTTAAATAGAGTACCCTGAAACAGTTAAAGTTTTCCTTTATAAACACTGTTTATAATAAAATTGTAGAAAAGTCATAATAATGAAATATAGGAATTATTCTTCAAAAGTATTCTGTTGTAGCTTAATATTTTGGCTACTATTGAGGTTAAATCAATTTGCAATAGGAGAAAAAAGGATTTGCTATAATTCCATATGAAATATATTAAAATAGCATTTCAATATAAGGATTTGTGAAGATAGCCTATCAGTTGTCCTATAATTCTCTAGTCCTTTCTGGGGAAATAGCTGCTTCATCCCTTTAAAACTTCTAAGTGAGAAAAAACAAGCAGAAAAGAATATTTCCCCAGTAAGCTTTCTTGAAAAACATAATTTATGTCTCCTGTGCCCTATATTTTTTTACTTCAGTCTTTCTGAGGCTATAAAGTAACATATTTTTAAAATTATGGATGCATTTCATATTTAAAGATGACAAAATATGCCTTTCTTACTAGTCAGCCAAAGATCTAGGGAAAGTAGTACTTTATTCTTGAGTATTAAATGGACAAGTCTGAAGAAACCCCAGGGCAATGGAGAGAAGAGGATACATATTTAAGAAATATATTACAAATCTAAAATGATTTTTAAAGCACTAAAGTATGCAACTGTTATGAAGTAAGTAATACCCTGTAAAATATAGCTGCTGAAATATATTTTTCAAGGGTTTTCAACTGACATTAGAACATTCTCACTTAAGAACAAAAGATCAAAATCTCTTTTAAAAGAGTAGGAAGATGCTATTGATGGTACTGGGGATTTACAATACTCTGGATTCATCTAGAGAAGGTTTCTTTAAAGCGTTAAAATAAATACGCCCATAAGAGGTAAAATACAGACACTACCTTAAAAATACAAATAAATACCAAGGTTAGAGGTATAATATGGAAACATACAGTCCCAAACTGACACAACTAAACTTTCCTTACTGCGTTAGATTAGTCCCCATTCATTGAATCATCAAATTTTGCTGATTACTTTTGCAGTCATTAAAGACCACTTATGTTTGTGATTTTCATCTATCTTTTTTTCCCAACAAGCTCACTTAGTTTTGTTGTTTAATAGATTTGATATGAACCACTATGCTAATGAAATAATCTTATGGGCACATTTTCCCCCCTTTCTTTATATGTAGTAGTCAGCCTCAAATCTGAAATTTCCTCTCTTTCCAGTTCTTCTAATAACTAATTATGGTCTCATATAATCTATTCTAAAATTGCCTAGTTGGGAGCATTGACACTCTTTTTTGAAGACTGACAGAATTACTGATTCTTCAACTGTAGCCCCTAAGAACACACTATAATGGAAAGAATGCTTTTCTGTATCAAGTGCTTCAAAAACAAATTCCTTTTTGGACCACAATTTACATATTTTAATTGAAGGATCCATCTCTTTGCAATGTGCTACTTGTCATATAAATACTACTATTATTGTATTAGATATATGCATTGAAGATACACATATACATAATTAAGTTGAAACACACACACACACACACTCACACACAAACACACACACACACACACATAGTGATTCTTCCCTCACCAGTGAGACTAAAGCTTGGATAGATATGAGTATGTCCTTGATAACTTTAATCCACTTAGGTGCAAAAATCCAGCATTCTTGGGAAACGTTGGAAATTTAAGCTTTGGCAAGTTGCCTGGTGTGCCTTAAAACAGGTATCCAATCTTATTCTAGCGATGATAATAGAGCAACATGGTAGCCTCAGTCAGAATATTTTGTGGTTGACGATTTAAAGATTTATTCTTTTTACAGGTGGTTTTAGCCTATATTATAGTCCAGGCAGGAAAACAGATGGCACAATCAAAGATGTAAAAAGGGTTTCAGTGACAACTTACAGAGGTTTAGGCAAGGTTTTAAAAAGTCAACAAGCAATAAAGTGCCTAGAAACTGCGTACTTCTGCTATTCTTGCAGCAATAGGAGCAAGTCCTTAGTATCCCTAGGTCTTAAGATCTGAGAAGTGAGGGCAATTAAACAAACCCTGTGAGAGACGTAGCTCTGGGAGCTTCAAGGTGAAGAGGCATGCAGTCACTACCAAGCTATGTCCCAGCAGACAGAGCTGGGAGTGGTGGTACTAAATAATGTGTGGCCTCTCTCTCTGACCCTCACACTGGCCAAACCGAATCAGGTGCCCAAAGGCAAGGAAGCCCAGGTGATGCAGTCTGCAGAGGTCAGCCATCTGGGCTGACTGAGAAGAGAATGAATGAAATATTCTCTTTAAGCTGCAAAATGTGACCCAATTACCATGAAACTGAAACTACATTGAAATTAAACTGAAAATGTGACCCGTTTACTGATCACTGATTATACAAAGCCACAAATGATGAAGGGCTAAGCATAAATGAACAGTTAAGGTTGGAATCCAAAATGAATTGACACATTTAATAATATGCTCAGTTAATACTGTGTTCATTTTTTTTAAAACTGGTACACACTGTTCACACCTATATTTCAAGTTTGGAAATCATATTTGCAAGCAGCAATACAAAAGTATTCATGAAGAATGCATAATCTCTGAAAATTATGAAAACATCCCTGCTACCAATACATTTCTAAATACAAAACTGACTACCATATTTGTTACTTCTGTGTAGCGAGAGAAGTTCATTTTTAAAACAGATAAAATTCAGTCTTTAGGTGTGAATGGTATGAATGACAGTCTCTCTTTCTCTCTCTCTCTCTCTTTTTTTTTTTTTAAATTTCTTAGTCGTTTGGAATCCTTAAGCATGCAAAAGCTTTGAACAGAAGGGTTCACAAAGGAACCAGGGTTGTCTTATGGCATCCAGTTAAGCCAGAGTTGGGAATGCCTCTGGGTCATCCACATCAGGAGCAGAAGCACTTGACTTGTCTGTCCTGCTGCCACGGTTTGGGCGCCCACCACGTCCACGTCCACCTCATCCTCCCCTGCCACCACGTCCTGGGCGGCCAAGATCTCCAAAATTGATCTCTAGCTGAGATGTTATATCATTTGCTGGCTTCCGGAAATGATGGTCCGTAACTGAATATTCAGCATGAGCCTCTTCACTCTTTGATTTATAAAGAACAAATCCCTTCTTCCACTGCCCATCTGCACCTTCATTTGGTTTTCGGATATTAAATTCTACTTTTGCCCGGTCCTTATTTTGAATAGCCTTCCACTCACCCAAAGTCATCTCTTTTGGACCCTCCTCTTTTACCTCTTCAACTTCATTCTCCTTATTTTCAGTGTCTGCCTCTGGATGATGTTCTTCACCTTCAGGTGTTTCCTCAGTCACATTTGATTGATCCAAGTCAGTTAATTCGTCTTTGACAGTTCCCCAGTTGTGAGATCCGCTACCTCCACATTTGTCCTCGTGCTTCAGGCCACTGTGATGTGAAAAAGATCTATCACTTCCACTATGCCTGTCAAATTCACGTTTGCCACGAGAATCAAATCCATCTCCTAGGCCCATTCCACGTCCACAGCCCCCAAGACCACCACGACCTCGAACAGGTCGGTCAATAATCGGTCTATCAACTGAAAATTCGCCCCCTTCACCCTTTTCTTCAAGTGGCTTTTCAAATCTTCGTTCACGAGGTGGTCGCCTTTCTGGTCTTCCATCAATTTATTTTCCCTTCACCCTGAAGTTGTTGATCAGGTCTTCTTCCAACTTGTCTTATTCCTTCTTTCTTAGGCGCCACGGGCGACTGCGTCTCCTCTTTCTTGTCAACCACATCAACGCTGGGGGGCAGGGGGTTCTTGCGGTTTTTCTGGGACTCTGCGCAGCTGCTTGCCTGCCGCGTTGGAGTTGGTCTGCGCCGCGGCCTGAGCTGCGCTCTTGGCTCCAGGGCCCCCAACGCCGCCACCGCCAACTTCTTTTTTCTTGTTCTCCGCTGCCTTCAACACCTCGAAGGGGTCCGATTCGTCGTCAAATAACTGGTCGAATAGGTTGGTGACCAGTCAGCCGAAGCCTTCCTGTAAGTGCCCTGGCATGATGGTGGCTCGGCGGCGCGTTCCTCCACGGATTGCAGCAGGCCGCGCCAAGCCAAGAGCCAATACTGTGTTCATTTTTTATCCATTCAGACATCTATTTGTCTATTTAAGTGCTTTACTATAGAATGTGATTATATTCAAAGTATAACCTAATTTTTAATTTTTAAAAAGCTTTTTCCTTTGTTAGTATATCAGAGGGCCAGGATTAGAACCAAGGAATAATAGGACTGAAAGAAATATGCAGCATTTTATGTAATAAGTTTATGTGAGAATTGAGTTCTAATTGCATACCTGAACGATTTTATGTTGAGTAGCTTGAGAAAGAAAAAGAAGCAACTGGGCCGGTTAGGACAAACGAAAAAGAGGACTAGATAGATTTGGGTGAGCAGGAAAAGGGTGGACTCGACCAGCTGGAAATGCTGGTAGCAACTTACATATTTGTTTGCCTACATTGAGTCCCTGGAAACAATTCTATAGCTACAGCAGCAAGCTTATCCTGCTTAAAGTGACCAAATTAACAGAAATGTATTTACACTAGAATATAATCAATATCATATTGTTTTTATTTTGATGGATGTGAGTGAAAATGGGGGAAAAGTAAAGTTTTGGGTTTGGAAAATAGCTGATTGATTAATCTCATGTGCCTTTTATGTAATTGTATCAGTTTGGGCTTAATTCTATACACTCCTGCCGTCTTTTCTTAACTCATTCTGGAGGGCACAAAGGAAGGAACTGCGTAAGTGCCAGTGTGAAAGCCAAGCCATGGAATCCAACAGACTTGGAGTCTAATATTGGTTCACCATTTACCAGTTCTGTGAACTTAGGCAAGTTACTTGATCCCTGTAAGCCTCAGTTACCTCATGGTTGATTATTGTACATTTCTTATAAGGTTATTATTTTGGTTGATTGAGATAGTGCATATATAGAGAAACGTGATACCTATGAAAGCTCATTAAATGTTAGCTGCAGTGATGATGATGATCTCAATTCCAGTGACCATGTCTGAGATGGTTCTGATTGATTGTTATTTTTGCTAGGAGGAATATCCACTAAATTTTAGATTTGATAAAATGGCATTATTTGAGAATGTCACAAGTATGTATTATAAATGAAACTATTATTAAATTAGATTTAAGATAACATTTTAATATACACACCAATAAGTTAAGAAACATTCAATATGAGTTTAGTTTTGACCACAAATTCCTCCTAATCAGGGAACCCTGAAGAGCCAGGGATCTACATCTTAGTTAACTTGTTCAGTCCTCTTGGTCTAGTCTTTGTTCTTTTTCAATAAATATCTGTCTCACAGTATCTTTATTGGCTTTCTTGGCCTCATTCCCTTAAAATGCCTCTTTCTATGCTATTATTGATGTTGCAAGGTAGGTCTGGAATGCTTTTGCAAGTAATCAAGTTTACTGAATACGTGTATTACCAAGACTTGCTGACTTAGTGCTCAAGTCTTATAAGCTTCCTTTGTTTTGCTCATATTTCCGAACATTGCATCTTTTGCCTTCTGCATTCAATAAACTGTGCAGTAGAGCCTTGCGTTGCTACTTCAGTATAATTGGTTAGGAGCTGGGCCCCAAAGTCAGATTGTCTGTGCCTGAATTAGGGTACATTATTCATTCATTAGCTGTGAGATTTAACTAGTTAACATTATTCTTTCTTAATTTTTCCTCCTCTTTTATGGTGACAATTATCAGTTCCTGAACTGTATGGTTGTAAAATTAAATGTGATAATCTATGTGCTAGCACCTCGCCTAGTGCCTTGTATATAGGAAAACCTTAATAAATATTAAAATAGTCTCAATACTACTTGAACTTCCCTCACATGAGAGGATTATACTTCTTTCCACTGAAGTTAAGCACTGCCAAATGATTTGCTTTGGCTAATGAGATATGAGCAGAGCTGATGTATGTAACTCTCAAGTGGAAACTTTTAGAGCCAATGCACCCATCCACCATAGCTTTGTTCCTTCTATTATGAGAATGCACTTTCAGGATAGCTATGTTCTATGTGCCTAGGCCCTGGAATAGAGATATTGTAGAGGAGAATGGTAGCTGACCTGCCTAGGACCAGTTTCATGAGCATAAAATAAACCTTTAAAGTGTGTATGTGTGGAGTGGGGGTGTTTGTAATTTTGCATGACTTTTAAGAAGCAAATACATTCCTTATGCCATCAGAATTCATTGTCAGACTATTCCTTATTCACTGTCTTTCTATCTGTAGGTCTTTGTTTATGTTTACTTTTTAATGACAGAAATATCTGTAAAGACATGTTTTTACTTTCATAGTAAATTTGCCCACTGATCCAGTAAAAGACCTCTATGATGCCACCCTTAAGTCAACTCCATGGTACCCTCTATTCTGTTCCACCATTGTCTTATTTCTTGACACTCTGTTCAGAGTAACATGAATTATGTGAATTTAGCTATACAATCTTAGTATTTTATCTTTTAAAAATTGTCTGCCCACTGTGACAGTTTAAACGCTGTTTATTGGAGTCTTTAGCTTAGAAGAAATAAAGCTTATATATTTTAAACAAATTGACATTACCATGAATTATTTTTTTAAAGAAAATGACATAAAGAAAAAATTTTAATGCTTTCTTTCTTTTTTCTTTTCTTTTCTTTTTTTTTTTTGGGATGGA